TCGTCGGCGTCGGAGTCGTCGTCGTGGCCGTAGTCGTGGTAAGGGTCGTGGTCGCTGTGGTGGCCGTGGTCGCGGTAGTGGTCGTCGTCATCGTCGTCGTCGTCGTGCTCGTCGGCGTCCGCGTCGGCATTGGTGTCGTGGTGGTAGTTGTGCTGGTTGTGGTCGTTGTCGTCGTCGGCGTCGGCAACGGCGTCGGCGTGGTCATCTTTGTCGTGGTCGTCGTCGTGATCGTCGTTGTCGTCGTCGTTGTCGCCGTCGTCGGAATAATCGTTGTGTTGGTCGTGGTCGTCGTGATGATGATCGTGATTGTGGTCGTGGTCGTGGCTGTGGTGGTCGTGGTCGTGGTCGTGGCCATCTTCGCCGTCGTCGTCGGCGTCGGCGTGACGCGTGGTCGTGGTCCGCGTGGTGGTGGTGGTGTTGGTCGTCGTCGTCGGCGTCGGCGTCGTTGCGGTCGTCGTCGTCGTCGTCATCGTCGTCGACGTCGCCGTCGCCGTCGCCGTCGCCGTCGTCGTCGTCGTCGTCGTCGGCGTGGGTCGGGGTCGAGGTCAAGGCCGTGGCCGTGGTCGTCGTCGTCTTGATGGTGGTGGTTGTGATCGACGTCGTCCTCGTCGTCGTCGACGTCGTCGCCGTCGTCGTCGGCGCCAGCGTGGTCGTGATCGTCGTTGTGGTGGTGGTGGTGGTCGTCGCCTTCGGGGGCGGCTTTGGCGTGGTCGTGGCCGTGGTCGTCGTAGTCGTCGTGCTGGTGGTGGTCGTCGTCGACGTCAACGTCGTCGTCGTGGTCGCCGTCGTCGTCGTCGTCGCTGGCGTCGTCGTCGGCGTCGGCGACGGCGTCGGTATCGGAGCCGTCGCCGTCGCCGTCGCCGTCGCCGTCGCGGTCGCGGTCGCCGTCGCCGTCGCCGTCGCCGTCGTCGTCGCCGTCGCCGTCGTCGTCGTCGTCGTCGTCGTCGTCGTCGTCGTCGTCGTCGTGGTCTTCGTCGTAGTCGTGGTCGTGGTCGTGGTAGTCGTCGTGGTCGAGGTCGTTGTTGTCGTCGTCGGCGTCGTCGTGTCGAGGTCCGAAAAGGCTTCTCGCCATCTTGGGCCGCTGGAGGCCCGCTTCGGGCGCCGGGACCGCCAGAAATCGGTCGGTGACGAACAAAAACGCTCAGGATGGACCCGGTTAAGTCGAGGGACCAACTCTGAGCGGATGGCGGTCGTCGTTGTTGCTGTCGTCGTCGTCGTCGCCGTCGTCGCAACCGCCTATGTCGCCGTCGTCGTCGTCGTTCTCCCCCTCTTCCTCTTCCTCCTTCGCTTTCTCTTCCTCTCCAGCCTCGTTGTCTTCGCCCTTGTCGTCGACGTCGTTGTCGGGCGAGGACAGCGGCGACGACGACAAGTGCGTCTCAAAACCTACCCCCAGACCCCTCCTGGACATCATCCTGACCAGCTAGATTTTCGAGCTGCGTCTAGCCGTGGCCACAGGGGCCTCAGGAGGCCCCAAAAATGCGAAGACGACGGCGACGACGACGACTGAACCCCTGCCTCCCCTGCGCTGGCCCAGACTTCGAAGCGGATCCGGCCTTCGCGACGACGGCAGCCCCCAGGAGGCCCAGAATCGCGCAGAGATCTCCCAGACCCTCGATCCCTGGACCTCGGTCGTCGAACCTCGATCTTGGCGATGGCGACGGCGACGACGGCGAGAACGAGGACGAGGATGGCGGTGGCGACGATGACGGCCTCAGACCCCCGACGTCGTCATCCTTTCTCAAAACGTGGATTCCCTGAGGTCTCGATTCCTTCCAAAGACTGGCATTTCGTCCAGAGTCGTTTTCTTGCGGCCCAAGGGCCCTGCAAGGGAGGACTCTGACTTCGCCCGCTTTCGTGTCGCCTATCGTTTCGTCCTAGTTCGTTTCGTCCTCTTTTGGTTCGTCCTCTTTCGATTCGTCCGCTTTCGTTTCGTCCGCTTTCGCTTCGCTCGCTGTCGCTGCGGTTGACTGCTTCGCTCCGTGGTGCTCAACGAAGATATCAAACGAATCGGAACGCGACGCGGACGCATCGACACCAGGCGACTTGAAACCGGGACGACTTGAAACCCGCACGCATCGAAACCTGGACGAAAGGAAACTGGACGACTTGAAGCGGACGAACCGACGCGGGCGAAGTGGGGGTCTGGGACGACGGCGGCGGCGGCGCCGACGACAGCGGCAACGACGACGAGGGCAAGCCTGGAGCGGCTGTGGCGGCACCCTCCGGGTCCGGGCGGCGCGCCTGCGTGTCCATGCCTTGGCCGACGCCCGCGCGGGCCCCCATCGGGATATCCTTTTGTTTTTGTTTTTTTGTTGTTTGTTGTTCATTATTGATTTTTTGCGATTAGTTTTTGGGTGTTCGTTGCGAGGATCGAGGATCGGAGGATCGGGGGCCGAGACTCTGGAGGCCTCCTGTCCTCCTCGGGGCCTCTCTGGGGCTCTTCCGTGTCGCCGCGGCGGGGCCCGCCCTCCGAGCAGCCCCGGCCAGGACGCGCCCCCCGAACGAACAAAAAAACGCCAGGGAGAGGTCGGTCTGAAGGCCCCCCGGGGGCCAGCGCCTCCGGCAAGTTCGTGTCGTGGAGACCCCGGGCGTTGGTTTCCGACACCGCGTTGGATCCTTCAGCCTCGGATAATCGGCGGCTTTCCGATCGCCCGATCGTTCCATGCAGGCCGATTCTGGGCCACTGGCGGCGTTCAACCTTGAACTCCCGCAGCGGGGTCGCCGCCGGTCGACACGACGCGAACCTACAGTTTTGCAAGAATCGGGGCGGACTTTCCTACTCGAGTCTTGCAAGAATCAAGGCGGACTTTCTCGCAACTGTCGGCGACCATCGAGAACCGCTCTGGGCCCGTCTGGGCACCCTTCCGGGGGATCTTCCCAGGAGGGGGGCGTGCTGAGTTCTGTCGTCGGCCCTCCATGATCGAGGTCTCTTGGGCCTCTCCGGGAGTGGAGGGCTTTGGGCGTGAAGGTCTTTGGGGGCTCTCTGGGCCACTGGGCGCCTCTCGGGGTGTCCCCAAGGCGCTTGTGGACCTCCCGTTCTCGCTTCAGGATCTGGGGGGAAGCATCAAAACACACTCGTAGAGGAACCAGAAAGGGGCACAAACACAATTTCTCGGAAGGCCGCGCAGATTTTTTGGATCCGCGCTGGACGCTCCTCCCTGGCGCGCGGAGCGCGTCGGGGCGTCGTGGGAGTCGCCGCTAGGCGTGCCCCAGCGCCGATCCCAGAAACCCGCGCAAACCTCAGAGAAATGTTCTATGATTGTTTGGCACCCGAACCAGGAGGACGAAGACCCTGAAGTACCTCCGACGCCGTTGATCTCTTCGAGGCTCGGGGACGTCCCGGATGCAAACCCGGGCCACTCAGGCCTTGCAGACTCTTGCAGGATCCTACAAGATCCTGCGCCCAAGCCCGGGTCAGCGCACCCTTGAGTCTGCAGGATCCTGCAAGATCTGGCGCTCTGACTGACCCCCCGTCTCCTGAGCCCCGCCTCCTTTTCGGGGACCTGTCCGTCCCCCAGGCCACCTAGCTCTGCGCATCGCGCTCTGCGGTTTTCTTCGAAACCTTTTGCGCTGCCCCCTGCGGAAGGCCAGCTCGGCGGCCCCGCCGCCACGGGCGAAGCGAAGCTGGCTTCGCGCCCCCGGGTTTGACCTGGGCCCCGAGTCTTCGCTTGATGGCACTCTTGTGGCGACGACGAGGGCGAAAAGCCAAGAGGCGGGCATACGTATTCGCCGGGGAATCTTGCCGAAGACATGGGTCATCGGCGCCCTTGGATACACGTAAATATAATTCCCCCCTGCGCTAGCCGCCCCGGCTGCACCCAAGAGTGACACTAGGCAAGAGTGACCTTGGGTGCGCGGATCAAAAAGGGGTGCAATGTGGCTAAATCCAAGCGCGCGATCAGCCTCTACCGCATCGCGCTCAGTGGTCAGGGGAGCCCCAGCGAGCCTCGGGGATCTACTGACCGGGTGAAGGCAAACCCGGCTCGTTCAGGCTTCGCAGGATCCTGCAAGATCCTGCAGGATCTTGAAAGATCCTGCGCCCAAGCCCGGGTTAACGCGCCCCTGAGTCTGCAGGGCCCTGCAAGATCCAGCGTTCTGGCTGAAACCCGTTTGCATCGACCCCCGTCTCTTGAGCCTCGGTCACTCGCTCACCTCTCCCCAGGCTCTGGGCTCGTCCTGTCCCAGGCGTTGTTCCCTCCTCAGCCTCCTGCTGCCGTTGCTCTCTTAGAATGGATTCCTGCCACTGCAAAACCCCGGAACGGCAAGCGAAAAACGAAGAGGATTTCACATGTTCTTTTGTTGTCTTCAATCCTGGCTAGAAAAACCCGCACGAAATTCACCTCGAAATCCAGAGCGAAATTCTCAAGGGAGCCCGCACGAAAGGTCACTCCGGCGAAAGGTCCCTCCTGCGGCCCACCAGCGCCCCTTCTTGGGAGGCCGCTTGGGAGGAGGACGCATTCGGAGGGGAGGGACCTCCTGCCCTGCGCGCCCCCTCTCTCCTACCCTGCTGGCCCAACTCCCTTGCGCCGTGCGTTCCCCCTCCACCCTCCTCTCTGCCTTCTTATTCTTCTCCTCCTCCTCCTCGTCTTCCTCCTCCTTCTTCTTCTCCCCCTCCCCCTCTCCCTCCTCCTCCTCCTCCTCCTCCTCCTCCTTCTCCTCCTCCTCTTTCTTTCTCCTCCTCTTCCTCCTCCTCCTCCTCCTCCTCTTCCTCCGCCTACCCCTCCTCCTCTTCCTCCTCCTCCTCCTCCTCTCCTCCTCCTCTTCCTGCTGCTGCTGCTGCTGCTCCTCCTCCTCCTACTCCTCCTCCTCTTCCTGCTCCTCCTCCTCCTCCTCCTGCTCCTCCTCCTGCTCCTGCTCCTCCTCCTCCTCCGCCTCCTGCTCCTCCTGCCGTAGCCATTTTAGTTCAGCTGGTTCCCCGTGTCTCTGGCAGCTTCTCGCCCATGGTTGGTCGTGCGGCGCCCGTGGCCCAGAGGAGGCTGGCCTGAGGAGGCACCAGTGGGATGGTGGCTGCGGCGGGCTGCACAGTGGCTTGCGGAGTCGCCCAGCAGCCGCAGGATGCTGCCGCTGGGACGCCAGGAACTTCTGCTGCCGCGAGGGCGCTGCGGCGGGCGCGCCAGCTGGCGGCCCGGCATGCCGATGCGGGGCGATTGCAGGCCGCCCTGCACCGTGTGGAGGAGCTCGAAGTCGAGCTTCAGAACCTGCAGTCGGCGGTGCGAGCGATGATGCTCCAGGCCGTAGAGCAGGTCGCAACTGTGTTGCCGACGGAGAAGGAGCCTTCGCCGCCTCCGGAGGCCCACCCGGGTGCGCAGACCTCGCTCTGGGTGCACGCGCTGCCTGGGGCCACGGTGTCGGCCGCGCCGTCCCCGGAGGCGGAGGTCACTGACCGCTTGGCCCTCATGGCGCCAGTGGTCAAGGCGGTGCTGACCAACTCAAGGGCAGACTCGATCACGGTCCGACGCCGCAACGCGGCGGGGCACTGCTGGGGGGCCCCAGCGCGTGCCATCCGCCGCATGGGCAGGGCCAGCCTCAACCGCCTCCAGCGCAGCGGAGGGGGCTCGGGCACCAAGGCTCGGCAGCGCCCTGCGAGGTAGGCCAGCGCGCGCAGGTGGCAGGCCCTGCCCCACCCCCGCCAGCCCGCGACGCGCTCGGCCGCCGAGGCGGCCCCCGCCTGCTGGGAGGGCGCCGCACGGCGAGGGCGCTCCGAGCCCGCGGGGAGGCGTTTCGACCTCGCCCAGCGGGCCCGCCTCGCCGAGGTCGCGGTGCAGAGGCCGCTTGCTGGGGGCCCGCGGTGGTGGACGGCGGAGGCCGAATGGGCGGGCCGCCCCTCCGCCACCCCTCCCGCGGCGGCTGCCGCCCCCAGGACGATGAAGGGCATGTTCCTGGGGATGCCGCTCACGTTGCCCGTCGTGGCGGCACGGTCCTGGCGAGTGACCCTCGTCAGGCTGGAGCTTCCCCCGTCGGGGAGCTCAGGGGAGATTCCGAAGAAGGTCGCGATGAGGGTGATGACGGTCGTCCTGAACACCGCGGCGCTGGTGCTGGGCTGGTTCGCGATGCGCCTCTCGTCGCCGCTCGTCACGCTGAAAGGGTTTCTCCCGATGTTCGTGGATGTGGAGCCGCTGGAGGTCTGGCTCTTCCCCGTCTCGGTGCGCCCGCACCTCAGGCCGAGGTCCATGCTGAAGCCTCCGACGTCCACGACGTCCATGGTGGTGGCGGTCGTCCAGTGCACCGTGGCGCAGGTGCCACGCCTGGCGGCTGCGAACATCACGATGCTGTTCGGCACGCTGGTGGAGTTCCTCGTGTTCTTCTGGCAGGGCCTCGCGCTGCAGATGCCCCTCTGGAGGCGTGCGAGGCGGACGAGCAGATTTCCCTCGACATCGGCGCCGCCCCCAGCGCCGCGTTGGCCCGCGGCGACGGCCTCCCCGACCCGTTCGACGAGCGGAGGGTTACGGGTGGGCGCCCTCCAGCGCCACTTCGTCCAGACGGTGGGCACGGAGCGGTTCGGGGGCAAGCCGTTCGAGGTCTGGGTCCAGGAGCGCGAGGCGGAGCACCGGGCGCAGATCCTGGAGATCAGGTGCGCTCACAGGGACGGCCTCGTCGCCAAGCTCAGGCTGAAGGCCAGGCGCAAGTGAGCTGTGGCGTCTGTGGCGCGCGCCACCTGCTGCGTCCGCCTCGAAATTATGGTGCGGCGCCCCTCGGCGTGGGCTTGGGGGGCCGCGTGGTGGCAGGTGGCTCTCAGCCATGCTGAGCCACTCGTCATCTGAGCGACGATCAACCACCGGTCTTGCGTGATGTGGCACAGCGACCCTCGGCGGTGGCTCGCCCGGGCCGCGGCGCGGCACGCTGCCTTAGAGACGAGGGCGCTTGCGCGGGCAACTTGCGCGGCCAAGGTCGGCGCAGACGACCCCGCTTCCTTGCGGCGCTCATCTGATGGTGATAGCGGCTGGAAAGCTGTGCCTCGCCACCCCGTTTTGCCCCGGCTCCCCTGAATCACACACGGCGGCCGAAAGAACCGTCGTGGGGCCTCTCGTGGGACCACGGCGGGGGAGCGTTGGTCGGCGGACGTTTGGCCCAACTCCGTTGCACTTCCATTCCTTCTGATTGTTCAGCTGGTTGCTTCCCGTTTGGGTTGCAAGCCCCACACGAGAAACACCTTGCTCTGCTGCCTCCGTTACACACGCTGCACGAGCGGCACCCCCAAGCGACCATGGAACTGTAGATCAATGCGCAAAGTCGAAGAGCCAGGAATGAACAATACCTAATGTGCCTCGCAACGCCAGGATCGCTGTTGGACCGTAGAGTCCCCTCGTTACGTCAAGTCACTGAGCCTCTCGCTACGGACTTGAGCCCAAATGGCTACGGAGACCTCTTCCTCTTCGTCCTCCTCCTCCTTCTCCTCCTCTCCCTTTTTCTTGCCGTAGTCCTGCTCCCCCTGGTCCTCTGCCAAGTCTTCCTCCTTCTCCTCCTCTTTGTGATCCTCGTCCTCCTTCCACTTCTCTCCCCCTCCTGCTCCCCCCCCTCCCCCCTCCCCCTCTGAAGGCCAGACAGATCAAATGAGAGGGTAGTGGGTAATGTGGAGGGAGGAAAAAAGGAGAGGAGGAGAAGACAGATAATACACACACACACACACACACGGACGTATACGTGTATCAGAGTGAGACGCCGACTGGTCATTTCTCATCCCTGGGTGCGTGGCAGAAATGGCGTTCCGTCTGGTGAATTCTGCTTGTTGTGTTGTTGTTGTTGCTGTTGTTGTTGTTGTTGTTATTATTGTTGTTGCGTTGCCGTCATCCTGGCCCGCGACCCGCCCGCGACCCAGCCGCGACCCACCCCGCGCCCGCCCCCTCGCTATTATCCGCAAGTGTGGTGTGCTACGCGTATATATATATATACATATATATATATATATATATATATGCACATATATATATATATAAATTAGAGATATGTGTGTACATACCTGCATATATATAGAGAGAGAGAGAGACAGCGACTGATATACATATATATATATACACAACATATCAAATCATTTTCTATATGTAGAGAGAGAGCGTTTAATATCTAGAGAGAGAGGGAGAGAGAAAGAGAGAGAGAGAGAGAGATAGACAGACACACATATATATATATATATATATATATATATATATAGAGAGAGAGAGAGAGAGAGAGAGAGAGAGAGAACGAGTGGAAGAGAGGAGGGCAAGACCGATCGCAGCGGGCAGGGCTCCCGACTGGCGGGCCACCAGTCGCCACCCATCAGCCGCACGAAGCAGGAGTCCTGGTCGCCGTCGCCGTTGAGGCCCGCGGCGATGGCCTTGAGCTCCTGGGAGGCGGCCGTCGAGGCCGGCGGCGGCGAGGCGACGGCTGTCGTCGTCGAGGCCCGCGGCGGCTGCGTCGCGTCCGAGGCCGGCGGCGACAGCCATCGAGGCTGGCGGCAGCGGCGAGGCGATGGTGTCGTCGCTGCGGCGGGCGGCGGTGGCGTCGTCGCTAAGGCCTCGCGGGAGCGGCCGTTGACGCTGGCGGCGATGGCCGTCGAGGCCAGCGGCGGCGGCCGGGAGAGAGCGGGCCCTGTCTGCAACGGCGTTGGTGCCTTGCCGCGCCGTCGCTCGAGCCCGCTCTCGAGCCTTGCTGCGCCCTGCGGCTCTCTGCCACCGCGCCCGGCGGTTTTCGTCCTGCCGCGAGGAGCGCCAGAGACGCAGCTGGCGAGGCTCTTGCGGGCCACGGCCACGAGTCGGTTCCTCGATCCGGATGCAAGGAACGGCCCCCCAGACCATGGCTCCTGCTGTAGGCTTTATTTCAGCGTCTAGACTGTACTGCACAGCGCTCTTCAACACAGTGTCTCCCTCGTTCCCGCGGGCGCTGACTGCACTTGCAGGTTTCCCCACTCGCGCTTTGAGCAACTGACATTGTGTGTGGAACTCTGGCGGTCGCCGTCGCCAGGCTGCTCGGTGATCTTGGGTCGATCCGACGACCTACAGTCACGCTGCTATCACAAGGAACGCTACATATAGAACGAAGCCCTTTTTGTGACACAAGTGCCTGGGTGCACGAGGAGCGCTACAGGAGCAACCATACACAGACCCAAGGAACACCGAGCCCCTTCCGAACCCGAGCTGTTTTTCCTCTCGACGTCTGGAATGTAGATCGTGGGTTCCATGGATCCTCGATTTTCGATCCGCCCGAGCGCCCTCTGCTTTGAGCGGTGATCCTGGACCTTTTGCGTTGCGCGGTGGTCCTGGACTCGTCGGAACACCCACTTGGACGCCTGAAGTGGGTGCGAAAAGCAGGCACCATGCCCAACGGTCGAATGTTGTCCCAAACCGACAGCGGCCGTTGTTGGGCAGGCGACTGTCAGTCTCCAGTGGGCAGCGTCCGCGGCGACACCGACAGCGAATCCTGTCCAATGTGGGAAAGAACCGATGTCGATCTTCATCACCATTCTTTCCGTACCCCTTTCTCGGGGAGACGTAAGACTCGAGTTTGGAGAACTCGAGTTAGCCTGACGGGGCCATCAGAGAAATGACGAGACCCAGTGTGAACATTGGCGCGAACTGCCCATGCAAACACCCCGCGAAAACCGGACCTTTAAAATCCAGGACGGGCTCGTCAAAAAGCGTAGGCGAACCCGAAATCTGGCGAATTCGAGTCTTTCGTTTCCGCGAATCTCCACCCCCCAGAACCTTCACCTCCCAGGAAAAATGCGACTTTTGCAGTCGTGTCGAAGAATTGTCCGGGGGACTTGGGGATCATTTTCCGTCCAGGGTCCGTTGCTGATGATCCTGGTGCCCGAACACGCACCCCAGAGGCCAAACGCGACGACAAGCCAAAGGCGACGAACACAAACAAATCGACGATTCGAATCGCATTGCTTGTCCAAGGCAGTGTAGATCCTGGACTCCCTGGACCCCTGGTCCCCGCCGGCCGCTCGGCGGGCAGGAAAAAGGTTTAGGTCGGGCATGTCCCCCTACAGGCGGATCTTGGACGGAAAATAAGAAATACCCCAACAATGCAAAAAAATCAAAAATAATCAAGACAACGTCCCCAGACTATTTTTCGACTATTTTTTAAGATTCCTCCTGTAGAGGGGCACGCCCGAATCAAAAAAAGGTCCGTGATGAACTGCCAGCAGCAGAGCGCGTTGGCGATGCCCACCACGGGCGGCACGGTGGCCAGGAGCGGCAGGAAGTGGACCGAGCGGGGGGGGGAATGGGGCGAGGGGTGAGAGATCGAGGATCTTCCTCCTTCTCCTCCTCCTCCTCCTCCTCCTCCTCCTCCCCGCTCCTCCTCCCCTCCTCCTCCTCCTCCTCCTCCTCCTCCTCCTCCTCCTCGCTCCTCCTCCTCCTCCTGCTCGCTCCTGCTCGCCCCTGCTCGCTCCTGCTCGCTCCTGCTCGCTCGCTCGCTCGCTCGCTCGCTCGCTCCTCCTCCTCCTCCTCCTCGATCCTCGATCCTCGATCGAGGAGCGGGGGTGGAGGGGGACGGGGGGAGGGGTCGAGCATCGAGGGGGATGGCAGCAGGGGGATCGAGCACCGAGAAGGCGGGAAGGGAGGGGGTTGGGGGGAGGGATCGAGCATCGAGGAGGGGGATGGAGGCCGAGGAGGGGGAGAGATCGAGGATCGAGGGGTGAGAGGGATGGAGGGTTCGAGGATCGAGGAGTCCTATTGGACGAGGGGGGAGTCCTGCTGGATCGAGGATCGGGGATCGAGGAGTCCTAGTCGATCGACGATCGAGTTCAGCTGGGGAGAGGGAGAGGGCGAGGAGCAGGGGGGAGGGATCGACGATTCAAGATGTTCGTTATCTTCACGTCCTGGCTCTCTTTGGGTCTCCAGAGCCCCCTGGAGGCCTCGGGGTCGCCTCGAGACCTCTGAGAGGCCTCTGGGGACGGGCGGCGGGGTACCAGCTCATGCTGCTCTACCCCTTCCTTTTGCCTTGGGTATAGAGTCAAACCGAAGCGGTCGGAGCGCTGTCTCCTCACCGTCCCCCCCTCCCCTCCTCCTTCTAGGGGCGGGGGACTGATCAGGAGGGGGAGAGGTATGAGGAGAACGACAGGTGGAGGAGGGAGGATGGCAAAAGGGGGAGGAAGAAGGACTGATGATGGTGAAGGATTGTGCGAGAATGGGGGAGTATGGGCAGTGGGGCAAGGGGTAGCAGGAGAGGGAGTGAGGGGAAGGGAAAAGGAAGTAGGAGGCTGTGTTTTGAGGACGGAGGGAGGAGGAGGAGCCAGGATGCAGGATGGAGGGAAGATGAGGAGGATAATGGTGGAGGGAGGATGGGATGGATGGCGAAGGATAGGGAGGTGGACGAGGGAGAGCTCATGAGGCGGAGCAGGACAAGGGAGAAGAAAAAGACAGCAAGAAAGAAGAGGGAGCAAGGGTGGCGTGGACTGGCACGCCATTGTACGCCTGGAACACCTGGAACAAGCCCAGCAGTCCGTTGAACCCAGAGATCATCATGTAGCTCGGCAGGAACCCCTGCCCGTCTCGGCTTATCGCGTAGGCGCCCATGGCGGTCTGGATCCCGTCGTACACGCCGCCGACGAGATCACCGTGCGCGAACTTGAAGAGGGTGAACGCGCCCTGCAGGTACACCCCCACGACGACGCAGCGATGGAACGCCCGTGCCCGCTTGTTGG